AAGAACAGAAGACACGATATATTTTTCGGAGACTGGGTCGTGCGTGGTGGGTGTAGGTGGGTTTAGCTCTGTCAGCCATTGCACCCGAACCCACCTCTGATCGTCGACAGTGTCTTGCCATCGGAACAGGGTGAGTGGGTGAGGAAGGGGAGTGCGGTGGACGCTGCGCAAGTCTGCCTTATCATAAACCAAATCAGGTGCGATTCAGAGGTGCTAAGCCCACCTCGGTAGCCGTCATTGGACGTCGGGCTGAACAAGATGGGGGAGGGAGTATCCCGTGTGTGCGTGTGTTCACACCCAGTTGTCCCTGAACTAATAACGGTCACCCGTTCTAACCCTCAAACAGAAAAATCCTACGGAGAGGACGACATGCAATCCCAGGCTAATTCGGGTCGTCTTCCAGTGGACAAAAGTCATGACGCACAGCGGAATTTGGCAGCCACCTGGGATGTCTAAGCAGCCATATTAAGAGATAGCATTGCTTACCCCCTCGCGAGGGTGGGGGCTACCCTGAAAATGGCTGATAAAAAATGCTGTCGGAAAGCTGACCGTAATTTGTGGGCACAAAAGGTGCGGTCGACGCACTACAACAGACAACAATCCTTGTCCCCACCTCCGTAACAATGCTCACTCTGGCAGCCCGGAATGTTCATTCTCCTTCGAACAATCCGGCCGGAAAGGACGGCCCAGCTCGCTCGCGAACGTACCCATTATGAAATGAACACTGCGGATCTCGCTGAGGTCCGCTTCTCTGAGCAGGGCCAACTGGAGAAGATAGGCACCGGGCGTCCAACGGCAGAGAGATACGCTGGAGTCGTTCTCGCCTCGCTGGGCCGAGGAGATTTAGGAATATGCCGACCGTGGTGAGATAAAGAATTTCTTCGCGAGCATTAAAGCAGTTTACGGTTCTCGACTCAAAGAGACTGCGCCACTGCCGAGGCCGGATGGAGAAACCATACTTACGGGAAAGTCACAGATTCTGGAGCGCTGGATCACGCACTTCCCAGGAGCCCTTAACCAATCAGCCACAATCAGCGAAGATGCTGTCAAACGATTTCACCGAATGGACAGGATCGACGACCTCGGTCGTCTGCATTAAGTCTTAAGACGATCAGGGCAATTTAACAAATGTCTAATAGAAAAGCACCGGGAACAGACATAATCCCAGCCGAAGTCAACAATTACGACGGCCGGCTGCTCAAGGAAACGCTAACCTCACTGTTCCGAAAGATGTGGCGTCAATGACACATGTCCTAATACTTCAAGGATGCCACAATCGTGAGCGTACACAAACACAGGGGGAAGAGGCAACACTGTGATAACCACAGAGGCATCCCGCTTCTTAACATGGCAGGCAAAATCCTCGCCCATGTCCTACTCGATTGCTTAAACACGCAACTGGAGGAAGGCTTTCAGGAAAAAACGCAGCAAGAATTCTGAAAACACCGCGGAACCACAGAAGTCGTCGCCGCGGACTGTCCACCACGGGAAACGTGAACCGATCCCTACGTCATATTCGTCGATCTGGTGAATCGCAGTGAACTCTGGAAGATCATACTGGAATTCGCATATTCTGAGCGACATACTAAAATGTTAAGACAATTTCGCGACGGGATGATGGTTCGTACCACAGACAATGGGAACTTTCCGAATGATTGGCGGTAACCAGTAGGATAAAGCAGGGTTGTGTACTGGCTCCCACCCTGTTCAGTCTGATCTTCCCCCCTATGCTGATGGATGCCTACCGTAAGGAGCAGTCGAGAATCAACACCGACTACCAAACCGGCGGAAAACTTCTCAATGGCAGTCATGAGTAAACGCTTTCGAAAGCATCCAAAGCTAGAGTCAACGACCTATTGTTCAGCAATGACTGCGCTAAATTGTGCAACGAAAGAGGACAAACAGCAGATAGTGAACCTCGTTGTCTTTAGCGGCTCCAACTTCGGCCCGACCATCAGCGCGGAGAAGTGGTCATGCACTAGCCCGAGTCAAATTCTGACTACAACGAACCCCGTATCAATTTCAGTAGAACTCGCCTTACGCGAGTGGTCAAATCCGTGTGCCTTTGGATTATGATTTCACATAATATCAAGATCGACAACGAAATCGCTAGCCGGATCTCCAAAGTCAACCAATTCTTAGGCCAGCAAAATCACCCCGTCCGGAACAGTCGTGGCATCATACTCATCATAAAATTAGGATGTACAAGGCTGTTGGCCTGACGGCGCTTTTGTACGGGACGGAGACGTGTACTGTTTTTGAAGGTCAAACAAAAAGACAACCATTCTCACTTCAATTGCCTCCGAAGAAGACTAAGGGTGAAATGACAGGAACGGATCCCAGACAGTGAATCGGCATCCTCAGTGGTCAAGCCATGCATATGCAGATGCAACTGCGATGGAACGGCCACATCATGAGGATGGACTATGAGTGCCTGCACAAGCGACTTTTCTACATTGGCGTAACGGCGGATGGTAGCAGACAAGGAGGACCAAAACGTCGCTACGGGAACACTCGGATGACCTCGTTCGAGTATCTGCACACAAGTCGGAACTCCTGAGGACCTTTTTCAACTTCGGCTTGCATGTCAGAGTGTCGCAAAGACTGGAATAACTGAATAGCCACCTCCAAAACGAAAAGAACGGTCTGCAAGTGTTGTAGGCCAACAATGCAAGCCCCTGACCTCCGGAAATGGTGTTCACACTGTCAACGGACGTTCCGGGCACGAATCTGCATTGTTGGGCACCTGCGGACTCAGTGCAATGGCAACACGGCCACTACACAAACACTACCGTCACTACCAGGATCACGATTAAGAACACTCCTACCATCAGCAATGTGGACTCAGATACAACCTGTTCCCATTGCGACGCACATTTGAATCATGCATCAACCTAGTCGGTTACTCGAAAATCCATTGCACTCAGACCGATGAACCAGAACCTGAAGCCGCAACATCCCTCATGCGCGCCTCTTTTGTCGAAGCTACCCCCAAACATTAAATCGCCGCATGAGACTCGCCAGCTATGCGGGTATACACGACAGCAGAATTCGCCACAATGCCACCACAAACAACCCATACCCGAGAACTCTTCCACGACTATCAACACTATTACTAACAGCGTCGCCACCAGCTCAGTAATCACAGTGACATCCTGTGTGTGGCACGTGCAGTCGGGCCGTTTTAAGCTCTGTTCGCCGCCTCTCCCAATCTCAGCATCAGCTGGCTGACTGGCTCGAACAACGACTGATGCACGGGAAAAGGAAAAGAGCATTTTCGTCCCTACAAACGATCTGGTGTGCTTGAATATATCGCGGTGTGCCAAAAGCCGTGGCATGGAAGGCTGTCAACTGATGGGATAACTCGGACTTCCTCTCAGAACGAAGATTGGGGCTGCAGTTGCTTCTTTTTAATACATCCCTTATGGCACTCCCACTCAGATGGGATTCGAGCCGTCCCCCCCCTCTTCTTGTTGTGTAAATTTCTGGTCCTTTGTGTGTAGATCAGAGTGTAGTGGCACGCTTAGGTGAGGATTTACTCCGCGCCAGCCAACTGCCTCCGATCCCGCCTCCGGTCTCCTTTACTCTGCCTTGACACTCAGCGGCAGACGCAGCGCAAGTCTGCTATCACTATAAACTAGTTCACGAGCAAGTCACCGGCCCTGCGTCTACTCTACTGTGCGGCACACAGCGGACGTAGGCGGTAACCACGGTTGAACTGTCACACTAAAATCACACATCAGCCTTGTTAGTAACTTGCACTAAGGCCAGAAAAACAGTGCCAGGATCCCTACAGACACCTGTCTCTCCCGTCTAACCTGCCTACGCCATCCCAAGACGTTTGGTCACTGCATGAGTCTGAGTCTAGTACATGCCCTGGGGACCAAACCGTGTGTGGCACACGTGGATGGACTGTCCAGGTTTAATAGCCAATGTGTCCGCGCCCGCCTCCGGCCGCCTTGGCATTGTCTAATTATCAGACGAAGGTGGATGAGGGAGGAGAGTGCGGTAGATGCAATGCAAGTCCGCCTCACTATAAAAAAAAAAGGTTCGCGCGTAGGCCACCGGTGTTGCACTCGCTCCGTGGGGCGCGCACATGATTTTCCTTATGAGCCAGAGCTTCGCATTCCCACCTAAACAACAAAGACGAGCCTTCCTGGCTGTAAGTGCAGCGACCCACTTCTTCCCAACCATGATGGTTGGAGCCGTGTTCATGTAGGCAGCTGACAGCTCACCCGATATTCGCTTTTGTAGTCAAAAGTTCTCGCTTAGAGATGGAAGGACGCAGGGGAGGTTGCTTGCGTTGATGGACAAAAGAGGAAGGAAATGGAACGTGATCGCGCCTACTAGCCCGGCTACTAGTTACGCAACGGTCGATGGTTGAACGTCTCAAAGAACGCCATGAGAAAAATGCAGCTCTGGTAGATGCGGAGCGGCCGGATTTATTTTAAAAACACACTGAACAAATAAAAAGTGAAAGAAGCACTCCCAGAGTATCCTCGCCATACAGCGATTCATTTCTTCATCATATGACCCCTGTTTGCAGATGCTGTGGAACTCCCTAGTAGCCTCCCCCAATAGCATGTCGATAATGATGTCATATGCTTGTATAGCCGCTTGACGAGATATGCGTCCATATCGTTTTCATTGCTCAGCCGCCCTTTTGCACTCCCCTTTGATAGGCTGGCGAAATTGTCGCGCTGAGTGTGCGTCACGCGAGGGGCGCCATTACGATTTACTCCGCCGCGGCGTGCGCGGGCGTGACTCTGTTGGCCTAAATTTATAGCTGCCCACTTCATTTCTTTTGTTATTTAAAGATCTGGTTAATTTTTATCATTTTAACTAACGTTATGTTAAGGCAGACATCTCGGCAGACGGCAAGAAAACATTGTGCAGATACCCTAACTGTCGCGGCCAAGCGTAACGGTAAGACGACCCCATTCAATCTGACGCTATCTAGCTGCCAAAACAACAAACGCCCGGAGAAATAGGAATGTCCCATGCTCCTTGAATGCGATATACACAAAACTATATTTATAGATAACCTGGCCAGGCGTCAGCTATCGCCCGCCTTGAAAGTTGTGAAACGCATATTCTATGCAGAATTTGACGATGATGTCGCCCTCAAAGGCCGTAAGAATAAGGTTCCCCTATGCAATTCAAAGCTGTACGAACTGATTACAAGTGAGTTACTACATATCTTTCTATAGTTACTCCACACAGAACTGTACATAGGATTGAACAGACGGGAGCATGCGGACCACAACGATTCGGATGCCTTTTTCACTAAACGGCTAGAGCGCTCCCTGGACGAGGCAGGTAAACGGCTACGAAGAAGTCAAGCAATTTCAAAGGCGAATGGTAAGCCCAGTACATACATATCCCACATACATGTAACTTTCAGAATAGGTAGCCGGACCGTCTATTGCAAACCAATACGTGACTGTACCTTGTGAACGCCGATTGTTCCTTTCCCGTATGCTATTTTTGTATGTTACTTTCCTAATTTCCCAAATGTAATTGATAAACAACTCGCAGAAAACCGCTCGCTTGTCTTAACGGTTTGTATGGGTTCGGTTTTGGGTTCAATGGCTTCGGTACTGGCTAATATACGATCAAGCAAGTTACACGTCGACAGGAAACGGTAGTAGAAGTAAAGTAGGGGGCATTATATTCAAAGGAAGGGGTGCACTTTAGATATTTATCTGCCTCGCATAGTAAAATGACCTTTTTTCGCCTACGTCGCTCAATCTCGACATGTCGATATCAGGGGTATATTAACAAAGTGGCCAAAGTCGATATCCAGGCGATATACCTATCTCGGCATGTTGATATCAACGAGATATTGCGTCGATATCGACATGCTATTAGGGTTGAACTGGCTCCACACTAGCAAGTCAAACTTGCACGCATCCTCTATCAGTGTTGACGCAAGACGACGGTGGCGTGGGTCACCCGTAATATGTACCGGTCGCATGATACTTTAAATTTCAGCTTCGGGACAGCGACGGACAGCATCAAATACTGTCTAGACAGTATTAGGCGATGGTTGAAATTATATTGAAGTTAATATAATTTAAAAGCGCTTGCAAAATGTGACTCCGCAATTTAATACACTATTTCAGTCTAGACTGTGTCGGACGAATCCTTGACCAGACTGTGAAACGAAGCAGACTATTTTGTCTTTTCCGTCTCAATTCCAACCCATTCAAATCCAGCTGGCAATTTCCACTACCCGCTTGCCTAGTCCCATCTGTGTTTTTAAACCAGATTCCGTCTTAACTCATCTTCTATTCCGTTACTCATTCCAGAATGCTGCTTGTTAACCCCTTCACAAGCGGCCTTTCTCGCTACCCTCTTAAATAGATTTGTCAAAAATCGATTTGCAACAAGCCGAGGTCAGATATGATAGTTGGTCATCCTCTAACCTCTGAATTCTTTCCTTAAATTACTCGGATTGCTCTCATTCATGAGGAAAAGAGGGGTATAATGAGAGGTGAGGACATACATATACATGTTGTCCAGTGTCATTGTCTCGCTTTCTCTTTTATCTTCATTTCGTCTAACAATGGTTTGGTGTCACCAACTCCGAAACTCACGAGTACAACTTTGATTTTTTTGAAGAACCTCTCTGTTTTTCATACATATCTGTTGACAGAATGTTATTACCGACAAAGACAAGGGAGGCTGGGATGGCCATCTCCGGCTTATTAGCCGTCGTCTGCCAGCCATACTCAACCCGGAAGTGTTGAAAACCTGGGGCTTGATCCCGCGGCCTGTTAGTTAGAATTCCAACGCCTCTAATCATTGGGCCACGTGCTTTTTTCCTGTCGGCTGCGACCGGGGATGCACGATGGTAGAGGGGTTCTCTCACCGATCGTTTTTACGGTATTCATTCGCCCCGTTGTGTCTTACGGATTCTCTCTCGAGTTAATACCTAAGTCCTTGGTGGTGGTGGTGGTGGTGGTGGTGGTGGTGGTGGTGGTGGTGGCGGCGGCGGCAGCGGCAGCGGCAGCGGCAGCGGCAGCGGCAGCGGCAGCGGCGGCTGCGGCGGCGGTGGTGGTGGTACAGTCGGGCATAAGTGTGCCCTGAAATTCCACTGGATGTGGTAGCCTATCAGGTTCTAAACACATATAGCGACATTTCGTTGGAGAAAATCCCGTTAGATATTCTGAACCTCACGCGAATAGAGCAGGCAAATCAGCATGGATTTGCTCCAGACAATGTTGGGTTGTAGATTTGGTGAACGCATATGCGCATTCGATGTCATTAGCATAAATAGATGATTGAGAATGTTTGACTTTCGACAACATATCACAAACATAAGGCAGAAACAAAATATGGCCTAAAACGCCACCTTGTAGGACATCATTTACATCCGGTCTCTCGTTGGAAAATGAAGATAACACTAAAAACGCTTGTTTTCGATTAAACAGATATGAATTGATAAAGTCAAGGGGACTGCGAAGTCCCAGACCTTCTAATTAAGCTAGGAGTCCTTTATGTGGCATATTATCAAAGGCTTTACTAAGATCAGAATAAGTAACGTCCACAGATGACTTATCATTACGAAGGTGAGGAAGTAGATTGCGAAATGACATATGACACGTTTCAAAAGAGTTTATTCTTTTGAAAAGTGTAATATGTCGTGTTAAAAAGCCCTGTTGTGAAGGGTTAATAACTTGACTGGCTATGCAGCATTCAGTAATCTTCATGGTAGTAATTTTTTCGGAGATTTTGGCGAGAGAAGGTGTTTTAGGGACATCTCGATAGTTTTTAACATCAGAACGACAATCAAATTAGAATACTGGAATAATAACATACGTTCTCTAATAATTGGAAAACAAACCCTTCTCGGAAAAACCGAAAAGAGTTTGCTGAGCAGAGGAGGAAGATCTCTTAACTGTTTTATATGAGAGTTCGGGATGTTCTCAGTTCCTGCTGAGTGCAAGTAAGCTAGCTTATCAGCCTCTGAATATTTGCAGGTGCAAAGTTAATGGTGATAAGGGAGGCATCAGACAATGGAGCAATCAAAGGGATTGGTTCAGTCTAAATCGTAAAATGCCTGGCCGCGAATGAATTTAACATTTCTGCTTTTCCGAACTCCTCTGTAATGAAAGTTTCGTTGGAACTAAGCCAAATCGGGCTGAATTAATGGCCCCTAGCTGACAATCTTTGGCCAAACACATGAACAACAGATCTAGAAGGATTCGCACCACTAGTAACTAAAGACTCTCTACGCCTATCTCATTCGAGCACCATTTGAGTAGTTAATTCAAATGTTTCTGCGGTTTCAAAGCGAACCTATAATGAACTTACGGAGGAATCTTTGAGCCGCCTTCGTAGTTCTTTATGTGTGTTTTTAATAAAATGTGGGACAGTGGAGGAAGTGGCACAAGATTTAAACATCTTTAGTGGAACTGCATAGAGAAAACCTCCTGTTATGCACTGCAATTAATCGAAAAAATGGATCAATATTTGGAAAAATACTGTGCCAATCATTAGGGCTTGCAAAGCTATTTACCAATTCCTTGTTATATCAATCGGTGACTAATGAATAAATAAATAGATACTTATTATTCAAGACCCTTGGGCGTCCCGTCATGCCAAGTATGAGTAAATTTTCACATGAATTTTAGAACATGTAGACAAAATCTATGCAACACATAACTCATAGCTATTTAATAAGTGGTCTGTTACAAAGAATGATGAGCGAGCAGTGAAAAGAGTCCTGCTAAATAAACAAAATGATTCTGACTGGATTAACATTACAGGAGAAAAAAACTGTCGCTCATGAAAGGACAAAAAACGTGCAGGACCGCCCTGCATGTAACAGCGTATGACGGATTTCATGAAAGAGCAAGTATGCAGGCCAGACAGGACTGGCCGGCATGCGGTATTGAGTAGAAGGTTCGGAACGGACATAATCATGGCAGAATTCATTTACCGGATGAGGCCATTCACGTCAAAGTGACGAGAAGAGAAGAATTCACACGCAATCGGTCACAGTACGCTCCGAGTCCGGCCGAGGAGGGGACCAGGAATATGCGACCAAGCTTCTGGTACATGGCGAATAAAGAGGGCACCGCCAAGAGCGTCGACAGACCGCTTGGGGTCGAAATAAGAAGATGGCCTAAAAGACCGTAAAAATAAACGATTAGGGGGTGAGGATTCGAAATCGTGGAGGGTTGAGTGCAATTCTGATGTGTCGGATTAGGGCGTGCATGTCAACCTATGCACGCTATTTCTTTGAGATAATTTCTCAGGAAGGATATCGCATGCTGTGAAGGGCACGAGTCATGGACTGAAATACTGAAGTAACAGAATTTCTAATGAGGGATCTTGGAATGCGAAAATGCACATAGAAGACGGAAATGTGAGCGGATACGGAAATTTAGTGGCGGCGTACTAAATTCCCGGTGGCCCTTTCTCGGTGTCATAGAGAAAGTTGTGGGGGGAAGGATGAGGGAAATAAAAGTTTAATCGAATCAGCATTCAGACAAAGGCGTAACCTCCTCTTAAAAGTGTGTAGATTATCTTAAAGTCTTGGATTTGTTGGAATGTTATTCCGACACGAAAAAATGAGATCGCTTGGAGGTTGAGGAAGCGGGAAGAGGTATAATCAAGGAAGAATTGCGACGATTGTATGAGCGACTACCAGGGGTAAGTGCTGAAATTTGAGGAAGATTTGAACTATTATTAATGCGAAAGAGGAGACAGAGGCCTGCTCCTCGTCTTCGAGTCCATAAAATTTTTAGGTTAGTTATCTGACATCCATCTGAGTAGGAAATATTTGAATGTTCCGTAACTAAGTTTCTTCTAGTAAATTGTCCTTGAACATTTTCAATTTTTGAACGACTAGCCTCGTTCATCGAATCAAAAAATGGGCAGCAATACTCGAGAATGGGAAGTAGAAACATACGATAGAGTCTTAATTTAATTTTAGGAAGATAGGAATTCCAAGAAATAAAGCCACAAATCTGGGCAGCTTTGGCTGTAATTCTGTCAGGGTGCGGCGGGAGATGAAGATTATTCGTGTAGTTTAAACCTAAATCCTTGATGGTGGCGCATTCAGTCATAGGTGTGCCTTAAAAGACCCCATAATGGGGTAGCCTATCAGGTCCGAAACACATATGCCTTACTCAACACGTTAAAATGGACACACGATTCTGCGACAGCCAGCGGTCACGCTGTTTGGACCTCCTCATTTCTACCTTGTCAGCCCCAGCACCCCCTTGCCGCCGCTGCGAGAGGTGGCCATGAGGCGGCCAAACGTGGCCATTTGGCGTAGCTAGTGCGTGGCCTTCGACACCACAGCCAGTTTTGACCACACCATCCGAAAAAATGCGTGGTGGCATCCCCCATTCCCCTTTCGTTCCCCACCAATTTTTGGCCTCCGTTTTGTACTCGCGAGTGCACTTATTTTAAACTGCCTGCTATCGCAGTGTGATTTCATATGTCACTGAATCCTCCCAGCTTCGGCTAAAGCAAATCAGCGATAAACACCCCGCGTAAGTGCACAACCGGACAAACTAGTTAGCGTTCACTCTACCCCACGACATAGGAAAGTGGACAGACAATGGTTGGAAGCGGTGGTTTATTGAGTATTTACAAATTAGAGGGGTCGGTTCGAAAAATACAGGCAAGGAGGCAGTTCTTCAACGGACATTAAAGGACTTCTGGCCATTTCCAGTGGTTATCGACGGTTCCTGCAAAAAAAGAACTGTGTTAAAACATGGGTAATGCTTTTGTCACTGAAGTAATTAATAATGTTAATAGCAGGAGAAATGCAATACCTAGGTGACGCATCATAAGAAGGCTTCCTTAGGGGCAGGACAGATGAGGGTCAGGCGTTCCGAGTAGTGAATTTGCCTGCCCGTACCCAGACACTGGAAAGTCATGCACACATTTCTATGTATATGACCCTAAGTGACCTCCTGTTGGGCTACACCGGATTCGCATTTAAATATGACCAGTTTGGCCCCCTCCCCTCGTTGACTGCGGAGATAATTGGCGGCCCCAATGGTCTCACGTCATCACTGACACGTGCGAAGAAGATTAACAAAACCAATCTGGGGGGACAAGCTAATTGGTGTTGTTGTTGATGGAATAGAATAGGGTTATTATAGCGCCCCTTGGGCACTGTCAGTCTCCCCTGAACACAGGAAAAAACCTAAAACAAAGTCATCCATTTCGATTCTTTTCTATGTAGGCAGATTTACTACTTCTGCGAATGTTAGACTTCAAGTAGACCTCATCCAGTGAATTAACAATGTACTCTTCAGTAATTATTATAGTAGTATGTATACATAATATTATTATAACTACTGCAAAGAGGGAAATAGCATAAAGTGTGTTAGCAGTAGTCTTTTTCGTTTAACTTACGCGTGCTTTGGAAGGGAAAGTCGTGGACATGCGAAGTCATCGGTGGGGA